TAATATTTAAGAATAATCTAATCTTTGTTTACAAGGCTTGTGACTTCAGGTAATATCGAAGCAGTCCGCACAGGATGCACATATGCCAACAAGAGACTGAGCGATTGCAGTCCTAAATAACAATGAGAATATATAGTAAACAACAACAAGTGAATTTTTAATTATAATTCGTGTAATGGTCAGTTGGGATTGCTTGTTTCAAAATACAAAAAAAACATGCGGAAAATGAAATCTTTCGGTGAAATTAAACAATTGTAAGTAGTTGAATACATAAATCGATCTAAGCTAGACCACTGTTGGAAACCTAGAAGCACTGAACGACTGTTTCGTCATAGTATGAGATTCCTCAACAGTGAACATTCTTGATCCCGTACGTTGAACTAGAATCTAGTCTCGTGAGTGAACGATTGAACCGCTAGATAACTGAGCTTAGATTAACTCATGAATTTAACTATTAAAATTTCTATAATCTCCACAAATCCCCATTTCGATAATTTTATCTACAATAAAAAGCTATTAAGTTTAAATATCATGCCGAATCGACAAGTGGATTTCAATCTTGAATAACGTTCATCAAGCAGTACTAAGTCAGGATGTTGGCAACCGATTGTATAATGAGTAATTTTTGTGAGAAAACTATTTGGTATTTATAGCACGTTCGTTGTTGGGGAAAGCAATTACTTATGAATTCGGAGTCGAAATGATTGTGAACGAGTTTAAACAAATAAGAAATGGAGTGACATTTCTGTGCAATGTTCGTTAGTATTAAAACTGAAGTTTGAGGAAAGTATTTGGGACAATAGCGGCCTGTTTAAACACCTGGGCTACCTGTTCCTGTTATCAAGATATTTCAACAAGTTATCTAATTTTGTTTGTTTTAATACATCATTATGCCTATTAATCGCACAACCTATTCAGGTGCGTTTCTGAAAAGTGTAAGACTTTTCGCTGTAAAGGTTACAGAAGGCCTAATCAGAGATATCGTGGTTGCTGGCAATATGCAGCGAGAAGAATGTACATTATCCAGATGTCGACTGACTGGGCTGCTAAATTCTAACTGGCGATCACTCAATATTTATCCTCAGGAAGCACGAAGAAGTAAGAAACGGAAACTTTTTGAAGTACTTTGTGCTGAGAATTCTATATTGTACCAAAAATATAATATTAAATAAAGCTAATAATAATAGAAAAGAAATAAAAAAACAATTGAGTTATGCTTTAGGCGGGAGTTAGGATTAAGGATTAGTGCATATGTAAACTAACTCTATACAGTTGAGATTACGTTTTACAAGTTCTAACCTTTCATTATGAACTTAACCCATTTCAGGACTCGAACCCAGTACCATTCGAGTTATCCATTTAGATATTGAATTCTGATAGCCACCTGCTTATGAAATGGGTGGAAGAGTAAATCCACTTGGTATTATTTGTTTGAATCTTCTCATTGATGCTTAGAACTGCAATTGATCAGTCTCTTATTAGCATATATGAATCCTGTGCGTATTGCCTCGATATAGCCTTAATTCATAAGCATTATAAGTAAAGATGAATAGTAGCCAGCAGATCAATTGCAATCCTTAACATCAATTCGAAGATTCAAACAAACAAATAAAAAAACTTAAAACAACAACGCTTATTAAGGAGTATGACTTGTGAGAATCTTTAGGAATATTTTACATCATGCGAAACAAGTGTAATACTACAAATGAAGAATACACTGAAGGGAACTTTAGTTAATGTACCCTAAATTACTTAAAATAAAGTTTTTTAAAAGTTTTAGTGCACATTGATGAAAGAAGTCCATAATAGTATGAACATTGTAACTGAGGTGTAGTGTGATTTTAGTTAGTTTCTCTTTTTTCATTTTTACTATTTTGTTTCAACACAAAGTCAGCTGTTGATAAAGTAGGTGAACCATACAAAAGAAATCATGATAATTAATTGTACACTAAGACTCACGTATACACAATATGTACACAAGTACATAAACATTTAACTAAGGTAACTATAATATGAATGATATATCTTTATTACCAAAAATGGAATGCATGGATTCAGAGGTTATTACTATTATTTCTATTATATGTTGTACTTGTATGTATATGTATGCGTACATGAATGTATGTGATCGTGTGTGTATGTGTGTGTCTAGACAACAAAAGATCAAACTAAAGATACAACAACAGAAATAACAAGGCATAAAAGAAATTTTATTGGTTTCATGATCATCTGTTACTCTTCATCATTCTGTCTTACTTTTAAGTAAATTGTCATTTTGGCGCCAAGAAATGTCAAGCAGTACATAAAAATGGTATATATGTACAGATACATATATATATATATATATATATATATATATATATATATATACATATGTACATTTTAAACTCACTACTACATTTGTCTAGTTTATAGATTTATCATTGGTCAGATAGAAAAGGATAAGCAATGTAAAAATGACGTTTTTACAGTTATAACCTCATTTCAACAACAACAACAACAACAAAATGGACAATGGGCAACTGTTAGATGTATTCAAAGATAATTCAGAATAATTGAAAGGTTCAGTTAAGAAAAGCATCAAGTCAAAGGAAGTATATCAGAAAGATACGAAGAGTGATATGTACAATTTCAGTTTGTAATAAGTCTAACTGAGTATTATAATAAAAAGCAAACGTCAAAACTAATATTAACTCAAATATAACATTTGGACTTCACTTATGTAACATTCAGTCGCTTACTTGTATTGGAATTATTCTACCTAACTTGAAAGTTTTAAATTTAAAAACTGCATTAAAAAACTGTTGAGGAGTCCCATACTAGGACGAAACGGCCGTCCAATGCTTTTCTACAACCCCATACAGTTAATATCCAATGCTAGGTAATGGTTAAAATTTTCTAGATTTGGGTTTCATGCTAGTTAATATTTATCAACAAGGTATATGTGGGATTTTGAAGAAGCTGTTGATCAGTTTTTATAGTTTGAATCATCCTTTTGAAATCATCTACATTAGTGTTTGTATTGCTATCTGATCCATAGATTATTAAAATTATTAAAAACTAAAATACATGACAGTGCTTATAGTGATGAACCAGTCTACATAGGGAACCAGTGAAAATCAAAGGGAACTGAACATCTGTGTCGTCCCAGAGGTTTATTTTTCAGCAATGTACACACACAACAGCATCAGGGATATAACTCAGGAGCATTAAATATTTAGAATTTCAGCTTCTGTTAACTTATAGCACACAGAAATTAGTAACTTCAAAAGTGTAGTCCTTATGGTATTACGCATTTCAACTTTCTATGACAGTCAATATTGATCTCGATAGTTTTAAACTATAACTTATTAAAACAAGATGGAAGTAAAAGCTTGCCGTATATGACTTCCGATCTCTTGATTTCAAAAATAGCTCAAACGTACAAAATGTCAACATGAGGATCACAAGTTAAAATGACAGGGGACTTCGGGAGATGAAGAGCTTGGAAAATAAGCTTGGTTCAAAATGAAAAATACTCAAAATAATAAATTTAACACGTAAAAACCTATTGGAATAATAACGTTTTTTCCACCATTGTTAGAAAAAGTCTCCACAGTTGGGACAGATTACTTATTCAAATCGCTGGTCACCAAAAACTGTTCATACTGAAGCTACATAGAAAATACGACTGAAACATTTTACTATAATTTTCTAAAAAAAAATTCAATTTGATCGGAGTTAATAGAAATTTGATAATATTCAGGATTCGATAATAATTCGTGAAAAGAAAAAAACATTCTACATAGTTGAATATTAACTAGTAACTTTTCTAGCTTCGTCATACTAATTGTATAGTTTGAATAACAAACTGACCGTAGTTAGGCAAACACTGAAGAGTAATAGATAGTTGTTTCATTCCAGTTTGAGACTAATCAATAGTGCACATTCGCAACATCACAGGAAATTGAACCCACAACCTTTTGGTCTCATGGGGAACGCTTATACTTTAAATTTCTATAGTGTAATAAGAAGACGAAGATTAACAGAACTATGTGATGATATAACAGCGCAATACATTTCGCACAATCTGACCACACATATACTTGTTAAGAACATTTATATATAAAAATAAAGGTCAACTAGACTAGCAATGGTAGGTAAGACAAATCAAAGTTTATAATCAAGAAGATAATGTGAAAAGCAATGTGAAACTCATCGCTCTGGATACTTAATTAATATTACTAGGGTAGATTTAAAGTGAGAACAAACTGTTTTTGAATACATGAAGGGGGCTTGAAGTTTCGTATGGCTAAGGCTTCAATAAACATTTGTATACGCCCTTTTACACTTTTATACAACACCACAAAAGCTGAGTTAAAATCAATCTTTATGGCCTGTTTCGATTATTTGTTTGGAAATAGAGGATGATTGATGTTTTATCTTCTACTCTTATTAGGTCATTTGATTCTACGTGTTTCTGCTACCATTTTGGTACATGATTAACTTAAACTTTAAACTACTGAGTTTGAAATCAATTATTTACCTGGTTAACTTCAATTTATTCATATTGTTACACAACCATCTTCTAGATTAGTTAGTAAGCGATTTTCTCATAATTAATATAATTAAATCCCAAAATATATGTTCGGTAATTTTAATCAGAATTTCACAACAACCGGGTCTGTTGTCAGATAGTAACTCACTAAAAACAATGATGGACGGTTGCTCAATTTTGTGGATTGATTGAAGTTAGACAGTTGAATACCGGTTCACTGGTTTAAAGGTTAAGCGCTTTCACGCGAGACTGATACATCCTAGTTTCGAATCTCTCGAGGCAGGATCATGGATACACACTGCTGAGGTGTCTCACAATAGGACAAAACAGCCATCCACTACATCCGAATCATTCCATAACGGTCTGACTTTAATTAATTCATGATTTCAACTATATAAAATTACTAAAATCTTCACATAACCAAAAAAATATCAATATAATAATTACATATATTTTCACTTACATGCAATACGTATATGTGTTTGATTGCTTATTTTTACACGTGGTTCACCTAATTCAATAATATTATTCCATGCTTCACATTGACACCAATAATCACCAAACCATTCTTCTACTGTATTTTCATCAATTAAACGTATACTTGTTTTACGTTTTTGTTTATTTAAATCATTATTAATATTATATTTCAATTTTTCATTCATTTGATTCATTATTAATTCTATATTCCTTTTATTATTATTATTATTAGGGTATTCATATCGTTTATTTGAATGAATTGTATTAGTAACACATACTATATATAATAATATCACTGGTTCAGCAACACAATAAACAATAGCTGGTTGCCATTTAGTTGTATAAATAATAGATGGTGGTTGTATTAGATATTTAGGTATATTTTTTGTATAGATTATTTCTTCATTTAATTTAAATTCATATGTTTTAATATTAAATTGATTCGATGATATTTTCATATTATTTATATTCATTAATGATGATTCACCTGTAATAATTAAATGTTGAAATGAAGTAAAATTTGATTGATTTAATTGATATGCTGTTATAAGATTATAAGTAGTATATAAAAAAATTTGAAAGAAATACAAATTTAAAATATAAAATATAAGTGGCATTTAGTTTTTTTGTGTATTACATATTGAAGATATTTTCAAATATTGATAATTAGAAAATTTAAATCAGCTGAATTATTATCTTTAATTTGATTGGTCAATTTAATGAACCAATCATAAGTAAGTATGAATATGATTGGTCTAGAATGATTGAAGATATTAACTTGATTAGGCTGTTATAATTTTAGTAATCTTTGAATTAAAAAACTTTTTAGTCATTCCAGTTTTTTTGCTTGCCTGTGTTATAATAATTATGAGTTATCTTAATCTTATCAACTTGTTAGAAATGGTTAACTTCCTATTTCTTAACTGTGTGAATAATACAGGTGTTCTTATTTGAAATTCATTTGAAATGGATAGTTATGAATGTCGAGTGTATTGTATATTTTATTGGTATGACAAACACCTTATTAACTTATACGGTTATCGCGGAATACGACTACCAAATTTAGATACACTGACTTATACGACCAAACTAATGATACATGCACCAGTATGAGCAGCTTAGAGTCCCGATCATCCATTTTTCCTGCTACATCTGCCTGTTAAGTCCAGAAGGTTAATATCAGCTTACGCTATATGAAACATATATTTCAAATAAGCAAAATCAGACCACATTACACTATAAAATAGGAAGTGGCAATTGTACAAGATCAAACCGTAAGTGACTATGATTATGAGAAACTGTGACTAATAGATTGAGTATAACTTCAGAATAGTAAACCATATAAAAGTAAACAATAGGTCAGTTAAGAGCTTATAATAAGAGGAATACCATTATGTATAGTTTAGTTACTTAACAATTGTACAATAAGAATATATGTATAGTATTAGTCCATAAGTAAATCCCAACAGTTACCATCCATTATTATTGTTGAGATATAACATTTATAGCTTTTCATGAAACTGAATACTGAAAAAAATCGACGGAAGATACAACAGTTGAGATATTTCCAGTCAGGCCCTTAAAGAGGTAGGAAATAATTACATTAGAATTTGTGGACGTAAAATAAAACTGAGAAGAAATTTGTTGTATTACTCGAGATGTTTCTGCTGAGAGTTTTTAACAAGTCTAAACACTAAACTTTTAAAGGTACAGTGACGTTTTGCACTGCACGGATCAGTTTTAAATCTAGCGAGATTGAAAGTGCTACTTAGTTATTATGAGTTAAGTGATAATTACATTTTCATGGGAATTGTGGGTGAGGATTGTCAGTTAAATGAAGAAATCTATGAGACTAAATGTTATCTTTATGTAAACATTGATGCTTGGTTATTGTATTTCAGTTCATTGGTCGAAATATCCACTTAATTATTTACTGACAACCTCATGTGTCCTGGGTTTGAGCTCATGTGAGGTCATAGATGTATGTTGCTGAAAAGCCTAGTGTTAAGACGAAATAACCTTTCAGTGCTCTCCGATTTCCAGTTTTAATCTAAATGCTATCAATTTTTGTGAAATATTTCCTGCTGATTGCCAAGACTCGTATAATATTTAATATACAGTATTACTGCTTATTACGATGATTTACTCTGTTAAATTTTCAATATGCCAAATAATTTGATATGTTGCCATTCTTTAAAATCATTGTTGCATATGGAAAGATTCAAACAAACAATACCAAGTGAATTTAAACTTCACCCCATCGCACAAGCAAGTGGCTATCAGGACTCAGTGGCCGAGTGGATAACGCGATGGCGTTTAAAGTGAGGATACTGGGTTCGAGTCCCAGAGTAAACATCAACTCTGAGATGCAGGTACATCCAGTTGACGAGTCCCAAATAGGACGAAACGCGCGTCCTGGATTCCACTGCTAGCCACTATCCATCTCTGCTAACCATGCTTGTGAATTAAGGTATATCGAGGCAATACGCACGTTATGCACATATGCCAATTAGAGACTGACCAGTTACAGTCCTTAACATCGATGGGAAGATTCAAACAAACAATACCAAGTGAATTTGTTGCATATGGTTTAAAGTTTTACTTCCACATATTACTCTATTGATTAGGGAAACTGGTTGAAGGATAAACTAAGCAAATGATTTCAGATGGTTTTAATTTGTCATCATAAGTATATATTCAAAATTCTTTTATAGATAGTTCGTCAATACATCCAAGTAGTTACTCATCAATAGTACTATGCGATTTTTGAACAATATTGTGGATCAGATGAAACCAGACTTGTAAACTACTGGTATTAACTCAGTGATATAAATGATAAGCGGTCACTGAGAGACCTAAATGTATTGGATTCAATCTCCAGTAGAATCATGGATGTACCCTGTTGAAGAGCACCATACTTTCGCGAAACAGTTGTACAGGGATTCCTGTTTCTTAACTGTTGTTTAATTACAATCAGTCCAAGTGGATCTTCATATATAGAATAGGTATCAAACTTCAGAACTATAGTATTCATTTAGTTACTACTATTACAAGTCAAAATGAGGAAAAGGGATCATAGTCATATAAATTAAACGATTAATCTACATTGTTACTAGTCAGTGGTTAAGTCAATCAAATTTAAGATAATAGCAAAATCATAAATTAAAAATTATCTGGTATGATCATTTACTTTCATGGAATCTCTAACTTAATCGAGATATTAAATAAATATTCAGCTGATCAAACTAGACCAAAAAAAACTAACGAAGCTGAGTTAAATAAAAATATGTTAACAGATTTAGATTATATATCAGTAGCTTACAACAGATCGATGAGATGTCAATTTTTAGACTCTAAATGGATACTTTGATAAATAAAAGAAGCAAAGTAGAACAGAGGTTTTTGATAAGTAAAATTGTAGTGTGCTACTTATGTTAACAGATAGAAGTAGTATGTATCATCAGTCAAAAGTGAAATATCTAGAGGCAGAAGGTTAAGAAAATCAAAGAAAAGGCAACGAGAACAGTGAACGATCGCTGTGGAAATGAAAGAACAATGAAGTCTGAGACAATTGATTGACATTTTGCAAGTGAATGATTTATTGTATGATTCTCAGATGTTACAAAGATGTTCTTTAATTTTTATCCAAATACATTCGATTGTTCCCACTGTTCTCCTTCACTGAAAATTACGCTTCTATAAGGTTAGATAAGTAAATTTAAAAACCGATTCTTTTTACTCAATCGATGAGTCTAAAGAAAATTTGATTTATCCAAAAGTGTGCTGTAATTTTTAGAATCATTATGCTTTGTAGAGTTATATCCATGCTAAGAAAAAGCTTTGGGACTAGTAACAAATCCATTGAAATACAAGTGAGAACTCACTATTCATCTTTTGCCACACAATAGTCGTAAACTGAATTCTCAAAAACATTTTATCAATTTCTATGATTATACTCTTATTTAGGTCTGTCTTCAATATTGATTTAAGTTGAAATAATTTTCAAGTAAAGATATAAACAGCCTGTAATATGGACGATTAGATCTATCAGAAGGGGTTTTGTGGATATTTTAGTAAGCTTATTAGTTGAGATCATGAGCCAATTGAAGCTAGACCACCATGGAAAATCTGGAAGCACTGGACAGCCTTTTCGTCCTATTCTGGGTCTCTTCAGACAGTGGGCATCCACGATCCCGCCTCATGAGATTCGAACTGAGGTCCTATTGATCTAGCGCGAAACGGCCGTCCAGTGCTTCCAGATTTGTAGGTTTCGTACGTTTTGATATCACCATTTTCTCTTGCATTTTTGCTGAATGCCTTTTTTTGTTGATCTTTGATCTTGTGATTGATTTACCTTGAATTGCTCATTAGTAACATTTTTAACTCTTATACAATGTGATATGGTTCTCCATTCCACAGGGAGAGATACTTCTGTCAAGAATTTGAATACACTTTGCTAACGAGTAGCTATTAGTATTAAGTTAAGATATAATAGACCTTCCTATCGATTACAAATAACCATTAAATATCAAAGGAATTGAATAGATTTAAAAAATTCAAAAACAAATACAGCTGAAGAGTTCTCTATGAGAAAAAAATGACTGTTCAAAACTTGATAGTTTTTTTTGTTTATTTAACTATGCTTAGTTTATTGTGTAAACTACCAGAAGACAATTATTTTAATTTTAATAGTTGACATCATGAATCCATTGAAACTAGACCACCATGGAAAACCTGGAAGCATTGGATGGCCCTCTCGTCCTATTGTGGGACTCCTCAGCACTGCACATCCACGATTTCGCCTTCAGGGATTCGAACGCAGTCTCGCGCCAGTGCACTTAACCGATAGACCATTGAGCCGGTCGGCATCCGACGGTAATAATGTCTAACTTCAACCAATCCACGTAATTGAGCAACTTTTCAACAATTGTCTTCAGTGAGTTGATGTCTCACAACAGACATGGTTGAACTCCACTGGTTACCGCTTCTCACTAGAATTCCAGAAAATATCTCTTGAAGTTATTCACTAGTGAGCATTTGATTATATATTAGAAGGGGTTTCGTGGAGATCTCATTATTTTCACAGTTGAAAGCATGAGTCTATTGAAGCTAGACCACCAAGGAAAACCTGGAAGCTTCAATTGACTCAACTATAAAAATACTGAAATCTCCACAAAACCCCTTCTAATTATTTTAATGTTTTAAATTATAGAATCTAAAAGATAGAGAAGTTTTTGTTTGTCCTAAGAACAAAATTATTAATCATCATCTATTGTGGTTCAATATTCATTCTAATTCACTTTTTTTTCTTTCTTCTTTTTACTAATCTTTTCTATTTCTTTCTCTTTCCTTCTTTCTGTCTTTCATTTAAACAACCAAGTAAATACAATAATATTATAAAGTAACTTAATTAACTTTAATGACACCCATTAGTAGAATAATTAAAGATTTGGCCTAATTAAACATTAATCATCCTTACTGGTATAT